TTAAGGTTGTACAAATATCTTGACAATAAAAAGAATAATCAACAAATATGTAAAAAGCGGTCTCAGTGCGTTCTTTTTATTACGATTTCCGTCAAATTGGCCTATTCATCATAATACGAAGTATTTTGCATCTTCGTCTTAAATACTATTGTCGTTCCTTCAGTTACTTTCTTTAAATTATCTTTAGAAACTCTTAACATAGACATATATTGGTGGCCGTACTCAGGCACCGCGGAGCGTTGAGAAAAGTGGGGGGGGGGGCTAAAACTGATAAAAAGAGGCTTTTCTGGTAGTTTGATACTTAATATTTGGCACTTTTTGCAATAAAGTGGGAGGGCTAAAGCCCCCTCAGCCTCCCCTGCTCCGCGGTGCCTGGACTTCACTGCTAGCTGGAAGAAAATTTCTATTTCCTTGACTTCTTTTGCAAATGATCACAAAGTCTAAAATGCGTGGTTTTTTGTAAATGTGCATGATATCATGAGCGGCAGAGCTCCGTCTTGCGATTACGTTCATATCCATTAAATTAAGATTAATTTAATGATTGATGATGTTAACTGATGCAGACTGACTGCCAGTCCAAAATGTTTCCAAGCATTAACTCTTTAACAAGACCTTGGCCTCACTCTATTTATCCCATTAGATTGCAGAGCAGATATCATAAACCAAGTCAAATTTTATAAGATTTGTCTGCTTTTTAACTGGATTTTTATAAAATAAGAGCTCTGGGAAAGAAATAGAAAATGCTCTGAATAATTAAAAGCTAAAGTATTGTCAGGTTGTTAACTTGAGTTTGGTATTCAAAAGGACAGAAATATAATCTTGAATGTAGAAATATGTTAATTATGACATGAAACTGAATAAAGTTAATCAAAAGCATTGGATAGAAGAAGAGAGCCACTGAAATAAAGAGTAGGTTTATGAACAGTGTTCTGAATTTCTTCTTTCTGCATTTCTCCACTAATCGTCCTTTAGAATTTTGAACCTTTGCTCTGATGGTGCTGTGAGGATATGAGTAACGAGAGACTGGAGCGAGGGTTATTGTTGTTGTGAATAGTGAGCGAGAGAGAAGAGACGGAAGTCGAAGCGGAGATATAGGTTGGATAGGTAGCGGATAATGTTGTAAAGTTAAGTTGGAAAATATCGAAGAAGAGGAGAAACTGAATTATCGTTTATATTTGCTTTCGTTCTTGCCTGCTTCATTACAGTATAAAGCAAGGACCATAATACATAATACAGTATATAGCATAATACAGACTGAGAGAGCAAAAATGTTTTATTTGGAGGGGGGGGGGGATTAAACATGCTGAAAACCAAGAGCCAGCTGTTTTTGGTATAATTGTAAGTACATTTTGGAAATTATTGGGTGGAATAAACCCCTTGTAGCCCCTTGCAACCCCTTGTAGTGGTCCCCTGCACAAAGCGTCAGAGGCGACAGAAAAACGATTTTATACCCCCTTGAAAGCTTTTTTTTTTCTAAACAAAGAATTATGAGACATCCTTAGATAAAGATCTTAGATCATGTGACCTCATAATAATTGTCAAAAGTAGCATAGCTTCAACCATAATCTATATACTATGCCTTGACATTGCTTACGGCAACCAACCATTGTTAATACTTCATTTTTTTATAAACTGGACATAAACTTATGAAGCTTCCAAACCAACCAATACTTATTGTTGAAAACAATGTTATAACCCTCTCCTCTTGGGTTGTCTTTTTTATACAAGTTTGGTACAAGTTTTGGCAAATATCTTAAAGCACTGCCTTTTTTGCACTTAAAACTGTTGGCTGTCACTACAATGACGAAATGAGAGGCGTGTTCTGAGGCTATTTTCAAACTTGTATCACGCTGTACAGCCCGTGTTTAAACAAGGAAAATAGCAAATGAATCTTTTTGACTAGGCAAAAATGACACAAACATTTCTTGATAAGAAAGAAATTTTAAGATGAAAAGACAGTGCAAATATCATTTCATCTTTCTGTAAATGACCTTTCAAGATATGTCCTTTTTGAAAATGTTTCTTACAGCCAAGTTCCAAGACTGCGTGTAGGCTGGAAACACCTCAAAACAGCACCTTCGTCGGTCATTCCTTAGAAAATGAATTATTGGAAAATGGACCAAAAATAAGAAGAGCTTATATCAAATTGTGGATTAGAAATAGCTTGAAAAACACCGAGAAAACCCTGAATCAAAAATAGTTCTCCTGATTTTGAAATTACGATTTTGCGTTTTAGCAATAGGCATTCTTCATTCTTTTTTCCCTAATAGATTTCAAGGTTATGGTAAAGGTTAATAATTAGTAGGACCCGTCTTTAAGGAACTGTCTATTAGAAATTGTCATTACCTGCTTTAAAGAAGCTTGAAGTCTCAGTGCATCGGCAATATCTGCAATATACAGCATTCTGGTAACTCCACTAAGCAAGGCATCAGCAGCTCGTACTATGTCTTGACGCTTTGTGGGTGAACAAGGAAAATTGAAAAAATCAACTGCGGTTGTCTGTAGCTTTGCGCCTAAACGAAGATTAAAATATGATATTTATAAATTTTTTAACACAACTAAGAACATCCACGGGGTATGAACAACAATATATATAATAAATATACATGACACATACGTTCAATAACAGAATTCAAGATGGACTGGTGCACTAAACAAAGAAGCATTCTTATATTATTTTCATTCTGCATTGGATATTATATTCTTGCCATTATTTTCAATTCCAATCGCATCTGCATGACACACCACACAGGTGTACTGGACGGAAAGTAGCTCCGAAAGGCTCCGAAACTGACTTGCGCCTTCTAATGGACAGAGGAACGAGTATTACTGTAGCAAGCAAAAACAGGCTGATTGAAATGGCAATTATTTCACAGGGGCTCAAAAACAAAAGGCACACCGCGAAAGGTACGGCCAAGAGAAAGGCAGAGTAAATACAACTACAACTATGAAATAATTTAAAAACTTCCTTAACCTGCATTTAAATGTACGTCATACTATCTTTAGGCCTTGGTTCACGTTCAGATTTTTTTTATCAGATAATGAATTTAGCAAAAGGGGGGGGGGATCTCCTGGGCATTATGCTGACTTTCCTTTAGCTGAGCAGGAAAAAAAAAGTCTATGACACATCGAACAATAGGATATTAAATCTAATAATTGATATCTAATAGATAAACCTGAATGTGTAACAAGGACTTTTGATTAAATATGATATCAAAAACATTGCAGAAGCAGCTTTGTAATTATTAGCTGCGTTTGGGACTGAATGTACCCACTTTCTTAGCAGTGAAAGATAGCTCTATTGCTCTACTGCCGTTATCAAAGAAGCAATGTTTGTCAAGTCTTCGCTTCTTCTCAACTCTAAGCAATGAAAGAAAGTTTAATTGATTAACTAAGACACTTTTTGGAGAGAAAATAGACACATCCAAATGTCTCTTTGGAGAGAAATTTAGATGGAATGGCAGTCGAAAGCCAAAGTCTGTATCGCATCAAATCATCGCATTCGGAATTGGTCTCGCTCGAAAAAGATTGGGTTAGATACGAGGCTGGTAAACACACCCTTGACTAGGCGGGAGACCCTGGTAAATGTTATGTTTTAAGATTAAAACTGCAGTAGCTAAAAGCATTACATTGCATTATAATGTAGATACATAATGATAGAAAAATAAAACGGGGGTCAATTCAGGGGTTGAACAAGTATTGCCAGCATATTACAGTAGAGTAAACTGTAAAAATTTTAAAAAAGAAATAGCAATATGCAGCCAAACAAAGTTAAAATTTTAATGATCATTGATATTACAAATACCTGCTGAAAGGAATTACAAAGAAAGCTGTGGCTTAATCTCTGTTCAGTCTTGCTAATACGAAAACCTTGCTTTGTAGAAGCACAAGCGTATTATATAGGTTTATAAATGCCTAAAGAAGTTTATCTATTTCATCTAGCTATATCAGGGTATCACACATTCGTTTTATGTACATATATCCAGATGAAAGCAATAAGATCAACAAGAGATCGCCACATACCTAATATCTCGATATTTCGACAGGCAGTAGCCATTTCTGCTCGAACCTCTGGGTAATCAAAAGCAATGCCTCGTCCAACACGCACCAACCTAAGCATACCATTACTGATTTCCGTCATTAAAACCTCAGATTTCTTTGACCGTTTCCCTCGTCTTGGTTTTTTACGAGCCGCATCTCGCACAAAGTTCGTAACTTGGGCGTAAAGCGGCTCAAGGATAAGAGATGATCGTTTACGCCGCAACCTTGCTCGCGATGTTTTTCCTCGAAGTATTACTCTGGCAGGCGAATTATGATTGATACCACTTGCCTCTTCCATTTTCGCCAATATTTTGGTGTTTTTAAACGTAGAAAATCAAACAATCGGCATACCTACACTAGAGAAACGCCAAAAATGTTCAGACTAGTGCGATTGGCAGGTTACTTTGATAGATATAAGCCAATCCATGACATAAAATTGCCTTCAAGTGACTTTGAACACGATAATGTAAAATCTATAAAAACACAACAACAGCAAGACGTTGATCACAATCCAAAGCGAAGATATAAACAAACTATTGCAGTGCTGCCATCACCGAGCCTTGTGAACATGTTTTACGAACAGCTAACATGACACTATAAAAATAAGAATTTATATTCATAGGCACATCCTAAGCGACTTCACGAATACATGGAAATTTCTGCGGCATTATCTTGTGTAAATTCTCCGTGTTTGGATTACTGCTAAATGCAGCATGCGTCTTTAACATCCCTGAAGAATGCACAGAGGCGTCTAACTTCGGAGAAGTCGGGTTACTGCAAAAACAACATTTGATACTTGTACATCAAGCGTAATCAAATTAAAGCTTCCCAGCGAAAATAGAGACGCTTGAGAGCAGAACGGATGCAATGCTTGTGTGTAGTAGCTTGTAGATTGGCAAAGCGACGAAGCGAGTTGTCTTCCTAGCCAGTATGGTGATATCTTGCAGGACTTACCGCTCAAAATGGATTAAATCTGCATCAAGAATCCGGCCCCAAGTACCTGTTTGTTCGGTGAAAGTTCAGTTCTGGAATCGAGTCATGTAAAATAAGACGGACAATGCGCCAGGGTAGAATTAATGCACTTTGTTAATTAACTTCCCTGTGAATTGTTCTTCCCTTATTTCAACTGGCTAGGATGAGAAATTTTAGCACAAATGACGTTCATGAATAATTTCTAGCATTCCTTTGTTTTTACGGCAAAAGAAATTCTCCGCTTTGCAGTTGAAACACCTGCTTCTGTCTGCAAGCTGCTTAGAATACGCTCAAATTAGTCAGGTTGTTTTAACATAGCACAGACTACGATGGAAACATTTTCTCAAAGCATTCAATTCACTTTCAAAAGCTCTCCGGATATGTCAATGGGAATATGGTTTAGTGCAGCGTTCTATTGCTAACAAGGTTGTGCTGTGAAATTAAATATCACCTCAAACGAAAAAAACATACTGAGGACAACGCAGGTAGAGGAAAGGAAGGATGGGAAAATTGCTTTATCAAGATAAACATCGGAGAGCATATGCCAAATACACATCTATAAAGACCGAGATATGACCGGCTTATCGAAATGCATTCTTGTAGTCAACTCATTTACAGGCTACACGTAACTTTCCTATAAGCAGCCAAAGATAATCGAAGAATACTTCAGCGACTTCAGCACGATAAACATTAGAAAACAAATCCCTGTTATGTATCCATATGAACCGAGATATGACCGGCTTATAATAGTGCAACCGGATAGCCATTTCATTGACCGGGTACACGTAACTTTCCTATTAGCAGCCAAAGAAGATCAAAGAATACTTCAGCGACTTCAGCACGGTAAACATTAGAAAACAAATCCCTGTTATGTATCCATATGACCGGATATGACCGGCTTATAATAGTGCAACCGGATAGCCATTTCATTTACCGGGTACATGTAAACCCAGCTCTGTTATTCCAGGTGTAGGAACCACGAGATGTTGTCACATCAGGAAGAAGGACCAGGACACTGTTTGCTAAGAATAGCTACTAAGTGCCTTAAATCTACTTGAACATTAAATTAAATAATAATACCGTCCCGTCAGTTGAATTCCCGTTTTGGTGAGCATCTCCGGAAAGTAGCGAAGAAAGTACATCTTTAAGAATCCAGAATAAATGACCCGGATGCCACAGTTTCAATCCACTCTAACAAAGATAACCACAATTAGGTAATGTGGAAATCACTGGAATTTCCTACGTACCTAATAACAAAACTCAGCGAAAAAAACCCCCAAAACATATTATTTTTTAGCAACCGTAGAAAGATCAAATAAAGTATCATCAAGATAAACATTGAAAAACATATTCCTGATTTGCAATAATAAAACCGGGTAACCAATTGATTTACCGGCTACAGTTGATTTCACCACTAGTGACAAATGAGAATTTGAAGGAGATTTGTTGTGTAACCGCGAAGTCTAGAAACATAAGTAAAATGTGATTGCTTTATGTGACGTAAAGCAAGGAAGAACCGAATATTATACAGCAAGAGCCTAATCGTAGAGCTGGGTATAAGAATTCGCTTTATTAACTCTCAGGACATTTTACCCTAAAGATAATTTATACATTTCCTTCAAAATCTGTTAAACTGACCAGGTTAGCGCAAAACATCGAAGTCGTTTATGATAAGCGAATTCGTTTCAGTATGATTTTTCTCTATCCTGAATGGCCCAGTAAATTGAAGTTTGGAAAACCGTCACATCGTTTCAATTCACTCCCTTGTATGACAGCAATATTGAACACTTAAGTTTTCCGCTGCATATGTTTATGCATATGCATAAATCAAGAGAATAAACAATCTGATCCCAAGAGTATTTAGAGCTGATATCGTACTCGGAGCAAGTATATTGCTTTTTGGGGCAAGAATCTGCATATTCATTAAGGCATACCAGAAACGTCTTGTCAAAGGAGAAGACAAAGAAGATATGTCTCTGAAGCTACTGCGATGGAAAGTGCTAAAGTTTCTTTTAATTGTAAGGCATGCGAAATTTCTTCTTTCTCCGCAAATATTCGGTGTAGTTTTATACGCAGTTTGCGTCGACATATAATATAACGATTAAGCTCAATGGGCTTCTTATAAGAAAAGAGTAAATAGATAACAATTACAATCGTGTAGGAATAGAAAGGTATCGGGGGGCTGTAAAAATGATCTGTAAAATATTTGTGTCAAAGTTAGTTGATGGACTGCATGGCTGACTGGACACAACCATTAGTCTGGACGTAACTCTTCGTTCTTTCAGTCACTTTTAAATGCATCTTTAATTGCAAGCAGTAAACAAACGCAAAGAGCCTTTTAATTTGAAATACGGAGGCCACCCTTCGAATGACGTGGCACTGACCGGTTGATGGCGAGAGATTGGCAGAATGTTTCAAGATCATACAGCAACTGACGATTGGCAAAAGACAATGCCTCGGATAAACAGCATCGTGTGTCTTTGGAAATCCAGCAGCGAGCCCCTTGAACAAGATCCACGACAGTAAGAAATGGACAGGCAATGCGAAAATAAACAAAGTTGAATATTTGCTACTACCACCAAGATCTGCACTAGAGGCCGTTTCACCCAGGCTCGCGCCAAAGGCTGCGTCACGACCTCCACCATCCTAGTATGCAGCGGTAGACTGTCTTAGAATCGATGGATGGAATTTGGTTTATTCATTCTAGCAAAACCCTTTTTTACTATATACGCTTTGTAAAAACAATTAGATAAGCTCCTCTTTTTGTATTATAGAAACCATGGTGTAGCAAAAAACCTTGACAGAACTTGGTGACCATTTACATCTGTCATGCTCAAGATGAAAACCTAGTAAAAATGCATCATGGAAGAAGAAAATCGCTTTGCTTTCAGAAAGCGGGGTTCAACAAGGATGCATTATACTTCCCCTGCTGTTCAATATTGCTAGACGAGGTCAAGACGTAAGTAGAAGAAACTTTCGAGGCTTATTTTTTGTGGACTCTCTGCTCCAGTTCAAGTGGGTCACACGGTCTGAAAACTGGGATTAACGACAAGGCAGTAGTCTGAAGAAATGGCAAAACGCCAAAAGGTAACAAATGCGCACATAGTGTCAAGAATGAATGGCAGTATGATTGCAATAATGATGGTTCGATTTAAACATCACATTTGATCAAGGTTTGAATTGATTGCTGGACGTGAACTTCATTTCTTAATCAAGGTAAAGAAACATCTGCAATGCAAGATCTTTTCTAAATATAATCTAAATCTGCGTAAATTCTGGACAGCCAGTAGCGTTTCCTAAACGAAAACGTTTTAAAGAGACTTAGTATAGCAAATCCCCAGGACACTTAATAACGGGACGTTAATTAGAGCGACGGCAATTACGCTGAATGAGTATCAGATGCGAATATTTTGCCCTGAAGTAGAGAGTTTTTCAAGGAATCGGAAGCATAGACTAGAAAGAAGAACAGTCACACGGTAAAAGAACGCGAGGAAGACCAATTTAATCAAAAGAGACTTGAGTGCCACAATCAAACCAAGCCTCACTCTAATTGTTTCTCGGAGGAAGGTTTTTACAGCTCAAAGGAATTATGCAATAGAGGGAAACATTCTCTTGACTCTTGTTGCAGCGGCCCGAAGAACGATCGCTTGAAACCATTGCAGCTACAGCGTGATTTTATCGTTTGAATACATATATAACTAGCCATCGTTACCGCTTTTTATTTTTGCTAATTCTTGCTGTTTCTGCAAATTTCAATTCAATCGATTTGCAACGATTTTTTCAATGAAGAATTGCTTCCAGGCTCTTTCAAACCATTTCTGCGTTTATCTCTGATTTGAATTTGAAAGAGAAAAATATGAAAGTGCAGTACTATAAACCAACTGCTTCTAACGCAGCACTATAATCTAATTGCTCCATGTCGTGGCTAAATTCAATTTATGAAATTAAATATTTACAGAGCTCTCGTGCTAAAGAAAGACGATAAAATTTACGATTCATTTCAGGGTCAGAAAAAATTGCTTTTTCTAATGGTATTGGAGTACTTTCTGTATTCAGTAAGGGAGACCCGATTAAGGCGTGGCTCGGGCGTGGTCATTTGTTTTAAATGACTCCCCCTCCCCCCTTCCCTCTATTTCCTGGGCAATAGATACTATTAATACGCTGAATTGAAAGCACTATTCTCCTCGGTTTATAAGGATTAGGAAGCTGATTTCAAATAACGCAAAATGTTGTTCCCATGTTTATCCAGCATTCGCTCCTGAGAGAACAGATGGTTAACCAAATGCCTATAAAGATCATTGCAAGCATCATATTCGTAAAAGCTCGTGAAATATTCCCACAAATGAACTGGCATGAAAATGAATTATTAATTTCTTATTAAAAGGCAGATCCATTAATCATGATATTTGTTCACGATACTTAAAGGATTTTCTCAAATTGAGGAAAATCGTTGGTGAATTTATCTGAATTTTAAACTCAAGGCTGTGCTTTAGATAAAGTTTCATATCGGTCGAATTAAAGAGCGTGACGAAGAATCGGCTTAATTTGTTGAAGAAGAAAGAAAAATGGATATCCTTTGCGACAAAACATGAAGCGATGAAACTCTTTCTGGTTAAACAGGTAAAACGTTGTTCAAGAAATAAAATAGCCTATAGGAGGGGAAAGAAACTGCAATAGTGAAGATGCTATAGAATTGATCAATGGACTGTGGAATACAAAAGCGAAAATGGAAAGGTGATTTTGACAAACTTCCGGGATATCAATTAGGCTATTCTTGGATTGGTTAAGAAAGTAGCTTTCATGAAAAGATAAATTTAAAAATGGCTTTGAAAAAAGCAAACATTTTGAAACATGTTGAAGCTTTTCATCTGACCTTCTTCAGAGTATAAAACCTCAGAACTTGACCAAAAACTCTATGCTAGGAAATATATATACCCAGTTCTGGATTGATATAGGCCAATCAGAAACGCGAGCACGACTGTCGAGCTTGCCCAATCAATCTTGAAAGGATTTCACTATTGCCAGCTTTTACAGCATCTTTCTAAATTGTCGTTTTTTAATAAAAATGGCCTGAAATCTTGTTGTTTTGAGCTCCTATTAACACTGAAATGCGTTTGTATTCGTGATAAATTGAAGCAGATTTTCAAAAGATTTTTTATTTAAAACGGCACGATTCGTTCAGTGTAAATGCTTTGGTATAGATTAGTCTTTTGTCTTATCGACAAATTCGGCTTAGACATTTACAAGTAAAAATCAATAATTCGATAACTTTTATAAATGCAGAACTGCCGAAAAATATCAAAACCTGGAAGCAAACAAAAAGGCTTTTACAAACCAAGGCTTTAACAATCTCTTGCTTGCTTTAATAACCAAATTAGAATTCGATTTTTCATACGTTTTATCTTCATTGATGCCCCATTTAAATTGTTATTCATACATCTATTTATTGCTCGCAATCTCACTTCAATGTCTCGGGTGCTGCATTGTTAGGTGGACTTTTATTGGTAACTTCCAAAAAAATTGGTGTCTCTCTTGGACTAAAGACAACGTAAGAATTAAGGGTTGTGGTAAATATATGCCAACAGGCAAATGATTCAAATAAAATTGTTGATTCCATAGAAACAATTTCAGAATTGGTATTGTAACCTAGAGCTGGAGAATGCAAAGCGAATGACTTCGAGGTTCTCAATGGGTCTCTAAGAAACTAAATTATGAAAATAAAAGCTCTTATTTTGCTGAATCAACCACCTCTTAATCAAACTTTCTTTCCTGATTCATACAAAGGTTCTCTAAAAAGGAATACATTGACATCCTATGATTGTTTATGTTGTTCAAAAGTCAGAATTGCTCAAGACGGTAAGGACTTTAAATCTTTGCGACTCCAAGTGCAAAACAACAGGTTTATCTTTTTAAAAGTTTTTAAAACACACCTTTCACCATTTGACAGATAGTGTAGAATCCATTAAGCTTATACTATGGTACCGATTCTCTGCTTCGAAGTATCACATTTTTATGTACGAAGCAAATCAGGTTGTTTTTGTAAAGTTCTCGGATATACTCTAGACCCTAGTTTTCTAGATCGTTTCAGAAAAAGGATAGAGTGGCAAGCACAAGGCAGTTAGAGGTCTTTTTTACAAACTAACATTAGATCAATAGTCTTTTTATTGGGTATATTTAAAAAAGCAGTGTAAATATGTTGTGTTTTTTAATGCTGGTTGTGAGAATTCTACAAATGCTAAGAAAAGAAACTTTTTTGTGTGTTTACTTTAACAGTAAGATTATCGAAGAAGAACAATTAAATTATATCAATTGAAAATGGTTGATATGTTACTTCACTGAGAGGAAAAAACTCTTTATGGGAAACTGTCTCATTTGCTTTAAAATTAAAGACTGCAAGGCAAGATCAGGTGAATTGCAGTCGGATAAAAGTGATGATAAAGTATTTTTTCTGTGAGCATTGGTACAGAATAGAGATGGGGGAGGAAGCAATGGCCAATCACAGAAGCTCAGGGGTCCAAAGCTATCAAGTTTGATTGGAATGTGTCAGTTCATTGATGGTTACTTTCATAACAATAATCAATTATATTTACTAAAAACGGGCATGGCAAAAGTACTACCTTGTGACTTAAATGTTTTGGTCCTCCTGTCAAAACAAAACTTAAGCCCCAAGTTTCCAAGCAGCTACATGATACATTTCAATATCCTGCAGCATTATGAGCGAAAAACTTTTAGTGTGCCTGAATGGCTAGATCGATAGACTAGTCGTACCAGAAACATAGGATATACATAAAACCCAGTCCTTTAAAGCTCAAATTTAACATCTAGTGGACTTTATTAAACGCTTTAATTTTGCTTTCTACTTAATGGAAAATTCTTTAAATGGCTTCACTGTGAATAAGAATTTGTGAATATGTCTCCATCCTTGAGTAATTCTCTTTATTCTAATTTCCCAAAACAGCTGCTTCTCATCAGCCTGTTTCTATACATTATAGATTGTGAAATAAACTGGAATGATTTAAAATGAAAAGAAAAGCTGGGCCTCAGCAACACAAAAGCTATTGTCAATAAATAACTGTTTGGCTGATTCAAACCATATAACTGCCATGTAACTGCCTTGTGGTTTGATTTGATTAACATTGGCATTTTCAACATAGTGATTTAAGGAAAGAACGTTTTTATTATGCCTGCAAATATTCCCATCCAAAAGTATTTAGGCCATAAGTTACCTGATTTTCTTTGTGCTGTCCCTCAATTATTCAAGATAGATGACAATAGTTCAATAATAGACAAGCTGCAAGTAGTATTCAGGAATGTTCAATATTGTTCTCTAACAACCATATTCTTGCGATAGCATGACATATAATCATCACAAAAAACATTAACACAAAAACTCAACAGCCCCTGTTCCTTACACAGACTGTAATTCAAAGATCAAATCAATTGTGCCAACTGAGGGAAAGCTAATGAGTGGGATATTAGAAAAACAAGAAATTGGTTTTGCTAAAAATTTCAAATCCCAAAATAAAAGTGAACAGCATCCAAATCAATGGCTATTTGAAGATTGACAAAGTTACTTTGGATGAAAGGAGACAAAAATAACTCATGCATGAATATTTCTTAACTTTATAAAATTTAATCATTCTTACAGAAAAGACCAAAGAATCAGTTATCTAATATTTGACATAGAAACCAAAAAACAAACATCTTACTGTCCCTTTTTTGCTTTGCTTACTGTCTTGATTTGAGGAGTCGCCATACTGTAGTGTTGTGTTGATAGTTTGTTGATGTAGTACAGTGCCACAATCGAAAACAGAAGGCTACAAAAAAGACGTGTTTTAGTTATTGATTCAGTGCATTGTGCTCAGTGTGCTAGTGATGTCACAGAGTAATTTTGCCTTGCATACCAAAATAAAAAGTTGAGAACTAATAAAACATAACTTTTAAAAATTGACAGGCATGACAAACAACTTTTGGCGATCAGAGTGGGGCATGTTAATCAAATGTATTTGATAACACAAAATAATAAAGTCTATTTTGAAACACTGGATTTAGCAAAACTTTGAAAATGAACAAGATGCTATGTTTAAGTATGTTCAAGTTCCCTGTCAAAGAGTCCAGGTTTCCTCAATTTTATCATCACTGTCTGTCTCTGACTGGTCAGCTGTTGTTGGAGCTTAAAATTCTTACGAATACTGGGTGCTTTCTTGATTGCTTCTTTTCATTTTCCTTTTCTATTTGAGGTATATATCCACAACCCTCTCGAAAATTGCTTCCTCTTCATATTAATTCAAGAGAGCATGATTCTCATAAATGATCAAAATAAAGTTAAGGGTACTGTGTGATATAGAGAGGTTTCAGCGACTAGCAAAGGTTTTGTATGGAAAAAGGAGGTTCTCAAGTGGATAGGCCAATTTCAAGAATGGATCATAAAATTTGTCAGCCTCCAGAAACCACTCTCCACAAATGAATTATGTACCACTGGATGTGCAATAATTGGCTCCTAAATAAAGCATCAGATGGGTGTATGGGGACTCCTGCGTATCCCACTGAAACATTGCTTAAAAAAATAGTCATATCAAAACTCTGGATTCTATTGTCTCCTATTGGCAAGAAAGCACTACAAATTTGTAATTTTTCACATATTTTAGCCACAACTTTAAGTGTAGAATGTAGCCAATGCTTTGAGCAATTAGGCATATGATTACAGGCAGTTAGTTGGAAAATTGTTTAGGGGTGTACCAGATTATGCATTTTAGAATGGGCATGGAACAGGATTACTGGATCTTTCATAGAATCCAGTTGCATAATCAGACCAGATTTCACCAGATAATCATGTGATTACTAATTTTTGTGGCAAACATTTTCAAGTGTTTTTCTTGAATTTACGGAATGAATATTACTGCGCAAGTTAGCCAAACAGTACCAGGCCTTGTGGGGAGCAAAAACCAGAGAGGCTCAACAAACAGAGCAGCTTGATTAAGCCCAAGCACCTCTCTTTGCAAGGCATGAGAGTATCCACCTACTTGGGCATTAAGGATTATTTACTCAGAATAGTTGTTTTTGGATGCCGGGAACATCTTTGAGAAAAAAGGATCAAACACATTTCAAAGGAAAGGAGAAAGGTTGATTTTTTCTTTATCATAACCTGAGATGGTATCAACTTTAAAATCATAAACAACTATGATTTAAGTTCAAGTCTGACTGATGTTGGCAGCAACCTTCACATTACATTTCATGATTTGTTCTTCTGCTTTTGATCACTATTTGATTCTTGTTGTTTATCATATATTCACACTCAAGAAATGTTTATCTAGCTATTCCCTGGCTCCAAATAAAATACTCAAATTCGGCTTCATTTCGCAAAATAACAAGAACCTGTTCCACAAAGGGGGCTTCTCATGTACTTGAGAGCCTCAAGGGTGACTATGTGGTATTGTTTTCAGCAATCCTCAAGATGAGTATCTATGGCCAAGGATTAAGGATGTACTAATAGCAGGGAAAGTTTACTTTAAGGAAGAAATGGTTACATTAGGTTCTTTCAGTTGACAAGGAATTGAAAAGACAGACCTGCAAAAGCTTTCTGCATTTTAACAAAAAATTTCCTCTCCCCCAATTTTCAAGAATTTTTTTTCAAATGGGACAAGAAAAGAAATATCTTTGCTAAATGCAAAGTTTATTAAAAGATGACATATTTCACAACTTAATAACAAATTACAGGAGACCACAAGATCTGTTTGGCAATATGATAGATTTAATTTGAACATGCCTTTATTCTTGTTGTGTGAAATTTAATGGAACATTAGATGACAAGATGGCAAGACAAGATACCTGATACAGAGGTACTAAAGCAATCAGGGCTAACACATTTGGGGACTATGATAATGCAGAAACAGTTGAGATGGCTTGGGCATGTCAAAAGGATGGACGATAGCTGTATTCCCAAGACAGTTTTTTTCAGTGAAGATCGTGATGGCTCTAGGAAACAAGGATGCTCCATGTTGAGATATCATGATAATTGCAAAAGTGACATGAAATCGTTTGATATGAATGTAGATAACTGGGAGGTGTGCAATGCAATATTCACCCTCAAGAGAAAATGTGACCATGGGAGCAAGGAGATATGAACAAGCCCTGATACAAAGAAAGGAGGCGAGTAGAAAATGAAGAAAGCAGCCATTAACAAACTTGGATGCAAACAGTGATGCATATATTTGTGAACACTGCAACAAGCGCTGCTGTTCAAAAATTGGATTGTTTAGTCACACCCGGACTCATCAGGATCGTTAGTACACCATGATCTTTAAGATTGAAGGTTGCCTACTAAAATGCCATGGAATTTTTGGATATCAATCTCAAACTAAAAATAAGCTAGATTTCCTGATCCTGAGCTAGAATTTTGCATTGGCACTCACAGTTTGAATTACAAAGAATATATACAACAAAACTAAAAGGGGGGGGGGGGTAACTGCTGTTTGGGGTTTCACTTAAAGCGTTGAGTAGTCTTAATGTATGATATAGTGGCATCCATGATCATCCTATTGCTAATTATATTCAATCGTGAAATGCCATATAAAAAGAGATCGCACAAGGCTGTTGTATTCATATCATTAATGTCAAGGGCAGGGATTTCTGAAAGCTGACCAAAGAGATCTGTACGCATCAAATCAAGCTGTGGGCAGTGCAGGAGATAGTGTTCATTGTCCTCTTTTCCCGTTCCACAACTACAAATCGGGTTTAGGCAGTCAAAGTTATGCCGGAATCTATGTTCGTTTAATGCACTAAAATTCAATTGAAGTTTTGTTAAAGATCTAACACCGTCAATGTCATGAATGTTATATGTAGAGTTTCCTAATGGTCGTATGGTTGCAAGAAGTTTACGTTTGAATTCAGCAATGCTTACAGAATGTTTTATATCATCACAAAGCAGATTCCATTCCAAAAGAGTATTTTGGAAATACGTATTCGAAAAACGGACAGTTCGCCCAAAATTTTGGATGTAAGCGCGTGTTGCTCTGAGATTGTAGGTAAGTTCGCGTTCATCTGGAATTTCCGCAAACAAGTAATGAGGGGATTGTGACTTTTTCACGTTGAAAAAATGACACAAACGTCGATACCATCTTCTCTGATACAAGTTTTCCCAACCTAATTCCTCGTAGAGTCTTTGTCTACTCGTGCCTCTCCATGCTCCAGTGACTGCAAGGGCAGCTGAATATTGAATATGCTCCAGTCTTTGTGTGAAAGCAGATTGCATTTCAGGATCATATCTATGATATATGATGTCTCCATAATCTAGGTGGGGCCTCACATAGAGCTTATATATCTGATCAAGAACATTCCTAGAAACATATTTGGAAAGGTATTTTATCATACCGATACCTCTTCTTGCTTTTAAACTAGCTTCTCGAATATGGCTTTCAAAATTTAATTTAGAGTCAAGAGTTAGTCCCAGGTGTTTGTGCTCAGATTTTGTATTTATCTCGTTGGATCCCAAAGACAGGGGAGGATGGAAGGGCTTACGTCTCTTGCAAGAAAAAATAATTTCTTCAGTTTTATCCGCATTGAACTGCATTTTCCATTGCCATGCCCACAAACGTACCGTCTCAAGGTCCCTAATTAAGTCCTCTGCAGTTCTATTGACTTCGTTTACAACAGAAAAAAGAGATGTGTCATCCGCAAACATTCTCACATCGCAGTGAACATTATCAACAAGGTCATTTATGTACACTAGAAAAAACAAGGGTCCTAATACTGAGCCTTGTGGCACTCCTGCAGATATTGATGTCCATTGTGAGCTTTTGCCATTCAGCACTACACGCTGTTTTCGATTTGCCAAATAATTCCGAATCAACGAGAGAATGTTTCCATCTATGCCACTGCATTGCAATTTGTATAGTAGACCCTCATGCCAGACCCTATCAAATGCCTTCGACAAGTCAAGAAAGACAGCTCTAGTTTCATGGCTGGGAATTTCTTCAAACGCACTGTAGATCTTGTGAGTTATAGATAGTAACTGATTAATTGTCGAGTCACCTGGTCGAAAGCCAGACTGTCTTGAAGTTATAAGTCCATTTTCGTTAAGATGTCCGTATATTCCATCAAATAATATTTTTTCAAAGACTTTTCCGAAAATTGGCAACAGTGAGATGGGTCGATAGTTTTTTTGTTTTGCCTGCTTTCTTTTTTGTGCACTGGAATAATATTGGCTTTCTTCCAGACAGATGGATAGATTCCTGTCTCAAGGCATTTTTCAAAGATCAGGCACAGGGGCTCAACAATTGAATTATCGCATATCTTTATCATGAAAACAGAGATATTGTCACATCCACTTGCTTTTTTAGGATCTAGAGCGCGAATCAGTTGGAGAACTTTTTCCCTATCAATATTCATGTTTTCTAAGACAGAGTTACTTCTTGGCCGGAAATTAGGAAGAGAACTTCCCGTTGCTATTATACAGCATTGTTTTACAAAGTAGTCGTTTAAAATATTAGCTTTGGTTTGAACGTTCGTCACAAAAAGTCCATTTTCCAGCAAAGGAGGGATATTTGATACTTTTTTCTTATTGATTAACCTATTTAGGATGGTCCAATAGGTTTTAATGCCTTGGTTAGGGTCAGATAAATTTCTTCCAAGCTGCAAGTAATAGCTTTCTTTTTGATGAATAATCATTTTTGATGTTCTATTTCGTGTTTCCTTAACTAGGTTCCAGTCCTCTTGCCTTCTTCCACGCTGTACAAACTTTCTATAGATTCTGTGTTTACGCTTGATCGCAGATTTTAGCTCCGGTGTTATCCATGGTGGATCTTTATCATTACATTTTATGACTTTGTTAGGTATACACGACGAAAGAATAGAAAGCAGGGCACGAATAGAAAGCTGGGTATACATGCTTTGGCAGGAGCTGCACAAGTAGGAAAGGCAAGACAGATCATATGATGACAATGGAAACAAAATTGCAAATAAAAAGTTTCATACCAAGAACATTTCATACCAAGAATATTTCTAACTTGAGTCCAATAATGGTACAAAAATATACACATACCATTACAATTGCTAAGAATAACATTAAAACAACAAATGATTTGTCTTACCAGGTAGTAACACAAACTCTGTGTACAAGACCAGATGCAACAAGAGCCAAAGTAAGACAGGCAACAACTATTGAGAAAGTACAAGGCAAAATCATGCATCTAGTTACATATCAGTTACATTTGTTATATGATAAATTTTAGGATAAAACTCATGATATTAAAAACATGCCAAGAAACAAAGAAAAAATCAACTTTAATCCCAATTGAATCCAAAACCAAATTTACATTTAGAACTCTTAATTCTACAAACAAATCCAAAGATTCTAGCAATTGCTGAAAATTTTCAGACTTAAAATAATACTAACAACATAAATATTTGACTAAACTTTATTTTACCATCAACTATCAAATACATATTAGACATTAAAAGCACTGGTAAAAGCCACATGCAACATTTGTAGATATACATTACACTGTCCTTGACACAGACTGAATGGCATAAAAAGTGAATACACTTACCCTCTGGGAAAATCTTTGATTGAAAGCCAGATCCAAACATGAATCTTTCTAAGTTATTCACAGCCTTGTTTATGTTAAGTGACAAAACAAAACCCACATGATTTAATTAACTACTTACTGACATAACTGACAGCATCAACGGGAGAATTTTCAGGATTTGACTTTTCAATTTAAAGATGATAGATATATCACTTGGGGTTAAATAAAAAATAAATCAAAAAAGGTAAAAGGAATGACGATAAGTCAAGTTAAATTAATTTAGCACTTTTAAATATATGAACACAGTTTTTTGGTGATGGATGAACTATTTAATGACATTGACAAATTCACATATGTAGCATTTAGGTATGGATGGGGGAGATTTTGAAAATAAATCTGATAATTGAAAAAAGAGAAAAACAGTTTGCATTTTCAAAGAAAATAAAGATAAAAGTGGCTGGGCCATGGTTAAAAATTAATAAGATGCAAAAGATTATTTGTAGATATTAATATCACAAGTAGTTTCTTAAACCTGCATTGGAGAAACATTTTTGAATTGAGTATAAAAAAAGCAGTGCAGTAAAGAAACTGTGTGCAAACATTGATTGCCTTTTAAAAAACGTTGAGAAAAGATACTGTTAGCAGGAAAACAAACATTTGTGAACCAAGGAATCCACCAAGAATTGTCATAACTTTGCCTGATCCAAGATCACTTTTGAACATCTGCATACCAGCAAATGTTATCAATGTTAATACAGATGCCACAAAGAAGGATGTACTTGTTGGAAGTGCTAGAATGCAATAGAAAATAAGCTTAAATGTGGCATTTTTCATAGCTAAACAGTTGTTTCATTAAACATGTGCAATAGAGTTCTTAAGTGATAACATCACAAAAATATATTTCTAAAATCTTTGAATTAGACCCCATAACCTGAAATAGTGTCATGAAATACCTCCAAGTATGCAAAACTAGTCTAAGATATTGCCACTGTTTGCACAGAGCCTAAAAAAGTAAACTGCTAGCAAACTTCAAATCTTTTATTGCCCATATCTCACCCAATTTTGATAAAATGTATTCTGATTTAGCATATTGCGAAGTTTCCAATGGCATTCATTCAAGTTATGTGATCAAAACTCACAACCCCTTTAACATGACACCACAGTTATGAAATCTATTGAATAAGCATGCTTTCATTAATTTGATGCATTTTATTATGTTATATTATATTGTATTGTATTGTATCGTATTTTTTGCTAACTAGTGGCAGTTTCTGAAGGTAGTTTCAAGGCACTGGAAAGCCAATGCTAATTCAGCAGTGTCCTGCCTGGTCCTTCCTCTCAATGAGATCACACCTCTAGATTCCTAAACCTGGAATAACAGAGAGATGGTGACTCTTCTCACTCTGAGGGAAAAATTGATCATGTCTGGGACTCAACCCTAAAATTCTTGGATCTGAAGTCAGTGACCCTAACATCTAAGCCATCCTCGCACCATGGTTCATGGAATGCAAGCAACAAGCAGCAAGAATAAAATCACTAGAATTGCAGGTGATTACTTTTTATTTCATATAAACAAAGCACATGTTTCTAGCCTTCATAACTCGATTAATGTTTTGTGTGGCAAAATAACATGAGAATTTATAGGTCCTTTCTGGCACTAAAATCATTTGTGATTTATCAACCCATTTTTATTCATATTTTGATTGTGTGTGGCTGAGGATGTTAAGCATATTTTAGAGTTTTCATCCTTCTCTTTAGGTTCAGCCTGTTTTTTGGGTATTCAGTCTTTAAGAAAAGGCAAAAGTAATTCAAGATTAGGGTTTGGGTCTTTCAAATTGTGACTGCATGCCAGCTGCAAGCGCTTCAATAAAAGTTAAGTGTAGATAATATGGCTGATATTTTTCAAGGGCATGATAATATTGTGCCAGGCCATTCATCTGACAGTATTTGAAATCAAAGGATAGTGGCCCAGTTGCTTGGCTGCTCAGCCACACAACTGCCTATTTGCAGAGAAGAAAAAATTGATAAAATTGGCTGTTCAAGTTCAACTATTTTAATTTAAGCTCGTGAAAAACACACAAAAATTCAACTAAGTTGTGCAAAAAATTTCTGGTTGATTGTTTGGGTATGGTCCGTCCGGGCATACTTTCAAGTTTGGGGACGTGAGAGTGAGATGAAGTTTTCCACACTTTGTGTAGCACTGTATTTCAAAAGACTAAATGTACTTTACGTAGATATACAAAAAGTTAATTTTGAGCGAATTTACAAAATTTCTCGTCAATTTACATCTAAATAATACATCTTGAGGCTAATAAAGATTGTATATGGCAAATTATCCAGGGTTCATTCCATGTCAACTGTGAACTGTACGCCGAAGGTCCACCGGGACATTTGTTTAGGTCCGGCGAAAATATAAAAGCAGTTAGTAAAACTGTAAACATTATTGCGCCAGACAAAGAAAACTGATTTTTAGAGAAAACTGTGGAGTGTGATTCTTTATTTTACGTAAACTATGTACATGGCTTCATATTTATTCATATTTACAAAAAATTTTAATCGTTTGCACGCAGACCGCCGAAAAAAACCTGGTTGCACGCTGAAGATCTTCGGGCCTAAGTACATGGAATGCACAGTGGCGTAGCTAGCGGTCATGCTTGTCATGCCGGGCATGACCATCTATTTCCAGAGAAAACATTTTTCAAAAAAATTTATTTTCGTAAGAATAAAGTCCTATTCTCCTTATGTAATAGCTCAGGTCATTCGCCTTTGGAGCCCTATGGTTCCACGCAAGAGTATGGAGCCCTCCGAAGGCGCTCTTCTATTGTCGGGCATGACTAAAACAGAGGGTTTCCAATTTAGTCATGCCCATAACTATGAGCATGACCAAACCCTGTGTTTTAGTCATGCCCATAACGCTGGTTCCCTATGTTTGGTCATGCCTAACAATAGGAGTGACGCAGGAGAGAACAAAGGCTAGTCATGCCATTTCGAGAGGGCATGACCATCATTATAATCATCAGAACCGTCCTTTTTTTATTTCGTGAACGCGAATGCGAGGCATCGATGGCGGCGCTGTGCCTAGATCCACGAGCTGGGAGATAATTCTCTGTAAGTAAAATGCAAGCAAAAGCTTTTTGCCAAGCAGCCACGACTCGTGTTATTCTCCAGAGCATTTATGGCAATGGCAGGATTTTTCAGCCTGAATGGTGTTGCACTATATGGGGAAGTGAAAGGCACGAAAGGCCCTTTTCGACATAAAATCAGCGAGCAGGATCATTTTATGCAACCAAACCAAACTCTCAGCCTTTTCAGTAATCAATTGTTACGAGTTGAACATTTGCAGAGAATCTTCTTGATTTGATGAATGCCAAATCTTAGTGCTGTTCACTGGAGATGGATGGAGGAGATAGCAGTGTTATTTTCCAAACCAACAGATTTAAGAGCTTGAACTTTCCAGACATTTAGCAGCATATTCAGAAACTGTTAAGCCCTTTGAGCATTGTTACTATATTATGATTAGGACAATAAAGTTTTAGTTAATGGATAGGGAATACCAAAAATTTCTTTATTATTGTTTTTTATGTATTTGAAAATTTACAAGATCAAATTATTTCTTTTAAAACCCTTGGTTGCTTGATTTAGTAAGGACAATCCAATCATGTGGATATTTCCCACAAGTATACATCAATGTTTTTGTTAAGCTAAACTTATTTTGCAAGGTATTTTTCTATCTTTGCAAAAAGTCTAACTTTGCAAAAAAAAATTTGCAACTAGGCCTATCCATTATTTTAGCTTCCTATATTTCATATCAAAATTTACATTGCATATTCCTTTGCCCGTTTGTTTTATTCATCTATCAGTTCTATTGAGGCTGTTAGTTAATCACGATGGCTTTAAAATACCTTCAATAGATTGATAATAAGACTATTTGTGGAAAAGATGACCAAAAAGCTCCCATTCAGTTTCATGTGATTTATTGTTTCATTTACAAATTTTAGCTTATCTCTAAACTTTACAAATGTATTTCAGCCTGCAAATTGAAAGAAATTAGGAGAATAACACAATTATTTGTTTAAGCTGAGTTTATATACTATACTAAATTAATGTTTTTAATGTCTTTTGTTTCGAAATTGTCAGAACTCTGTCTGTATAAATTACCAACAAACCAAAACAGTGTCACAGCTATAAGATACAAAAGTCATTTCATGGTGTAACAAGATGATTCATATATAATAAGAAAAGCTCATTCCAAAGGTTCATCAAAACATTTTTTTTAAGTTATAAGCCTTAAAATTAAAGTTTCCAAAAGGAACTCATCAACTCAAAAATTGGGCGTGGCAGAATTTGGCCACACCCATATTTTTTCAAATTTGAGGAGAGGGCATGACCACTGCTATTTGGCTAGCTACGCCACTGGGAATGCACCCTGGCAAATTATAAAAAGATGTGCCAAGACACTACAGTTCCAATTAGATATAAAGTGCAATTATACCAGCATCTATTCATATTCTTTAGACGATTTTGTAACATTACAAGTTGCGCTGTTCGGCTCGACAAAACTAACAGCCAGGTTTCAAACTTGTACCAATTTGCTTGAGACTACAGCATAATAAAGCCCATTCTGCTACAAGAGAACAATCGTAATTCAGATAATGTTTTTCAAATACATTTTCACCTACATACCCATTATCAGAGTCTGTGCTTTTTTGAAGTCTCTTAAACACACTTATTAGCTCCAGGTAAGCTTCTTTCTATGACCCGAAGAGGACACGTAAAAGAAAGACATCATTTTCTAACTGCCTCATATCGGTGAGTGCCTCGCAAACAACAAGAAAACAACGTGGTCTCCTCTCTTTGCTTTTGACTCTGAAACAAAATGGCTAATGTCGATGTGATTAGCGACGAGAGTCGAAATATAGAGAAAAAGAAAAAGAAGAAGGACAAGTCGATAATCCAAGAAAATGATGGAAGTATTGGGCAATCCCAGCTTGATACAGATTTTCTCATAAAACCCACTTCTCTTGCTGCAAAGTTGGATACATCCAATTGGCCTCTTCTGCTCAAGAACTATGACAAGCTCAATGTGAGAACGGGCCATTACACCCCTTTACCATGTGGTAGCTCACCGCTTAAGAGGGAACTAAAAGACTACGTTTCAGGAGGATTCATAAATTTAGACAAGCCTGCAAATCCGTCTTCTCATGAAGTTGTTGCTTGGATAAAGAGAATCTTGCGAGTTCAAAAAACAGGGCATAGTGGTACCCTTGATCCTAAAGTAACCGGATGCTTGATTGTGTGCATTGATAGAGCAACAAGGCTGGTCAAATCACAGCAAGGTGCAGGAAAGGAATATGTGTGTGTTGTAAGGCTTCATGGAGCAATTGAAAGTGAAAGTAAGCTTGCTAAGGCACTGGAAATGCTCACAGGAGCCATGTTTCAAAGGCCGCCACTTATCTCTGCAGTAAAACGACAGCTTCGTGTAAGAACTATTTATGAAAGTAAGCTTCTTGAATATGATGCAGAGAAGCATCTTGGGGTGTTTTGGATTAGCTGTGAGGCAGGGACTTACGTGCGAACTCTTTGTGTCCATATAGGACTACTCCTTGGAGTTGGAGCTCACATGCAAGAGTTAAGAAGAGTTCGATCAGGCATCCAATCAGAAAATGAAGGCATCGTTACAATGCATGATGTTCTTGATGCACAATGGTTATATGACAATGCAAAAGACGAGTCTTATTTAAGGAGGGTCATAAAACCGTTAGAGGCACTCCTTGTGTCACACAAGCGTTTAGTCATCAAGGACAGTGCTGTCAATGCAATTTGTTATGGTGCTAAACTTATGCTACCAGGTATCTTGAGATATGAAAATGGGATTGAAATCAATGATGAAGTAGTGATGATGACTACAAAAGGAGAAGCTATTGCAACTGGCGTAGCACTGATGACAACAGCAACTATTGCAACATGTGACCATGGTGTTGTTGCTAAAATCAAAAGAGTTATTATGGAGAGGGACACCTATCCTAGAAAATGGGGCTTAGGACCAAAAGCTTCAAAGAAAAAGGAGCTGATTGCATCAGGTAAGCTTGACAAGCATGGTAAACCCAATGAAAAAACACCAAGTGATTGGAAGGACTACAAAGAATTTGGACATATAAGTGGAGAGAAATTGTTAGAGCAAGCATTAAAGAAGAAAGAGGGAAAAGCTTCAGAATCTACAAAGAGGAAGCACAAAAGTAGTAGCAGCAGCGAAGATGAGGCAAAGGTGAAGATAGATTTGAAAAAGGTAAAGACAGCGGGAGGAGACAGCCAGGAAGGAAATGAAGAGAGTGCTAAAGTTGAGAAGAAGAAGAAAAAGAAGAAGTCAAAGGAAGAAGACAAGGAAGAGAAGGAAGAGGCTATAGAAGAATCAAAGAAAGAAAAGAAGAAGAAAAAGAGCAAGGATGATTCAATCATAAAAGAAGATCAGGCAGTGAATGGAGAAGATAATGATGAAGAGAAAAAGAAGAAGAAGAAAAAGAAGAAAGACAAAGGTGAAGAATAACCTTGATTTTTGTGTAACATGAACTATAAAACTTTCAAGTCTACATGGGTAGATATTTTGCTAATGGCTAATCAAATGGTGTTCTTTTTATATTTTATGCATATTTGAAGTATTTTACATGTAATATGAAACTATAGCCTGTTACATTGGTAAAATTAATCAAGCCAATTTCATATAATTTTTTGTGTTGTCTTTCCCAAATGTCATTTTGGCAATCTCTAGTTCTTGGCCATTTCAAACCACCCTTATGTTAGAGTTATAATCTATAAAAATGGCCCGTAGAATAATTATGAATCAAAGGGAATCAATTGTTGTTTGCAGCATTCAATGACAATTGTGAAGAGCTAGTATAGAAGGAGAGGGGACTGTCAAATCTCAAATCAATATTGCAGTCTTTATAAATAATTTTGATTTTTTAGTAGTTTTCATGCATGGATCAGCTCAAATTTTTATCAAGTCCAATTTTATCACTAAAAGTTACCTTGTTTCTTTTGTGCTGCACTGGAAATTTTGACCTGGTGAATTTGACAGGAAGAGTCGTTTTGCTTGATGTTCTAGCAAAGAAGGGGAGAGGGGCCAGGGGTCTAACAAATTAACATCTTCTGGCTAAGAGATCTTTACACAGACCCCAAACCTTTGGTCTAGATGTTTTTAGACTTCCTCAAAGGTTGGATGGATAAATTTTTTATTTCATACTGCA